TTATTATTATTATTATTATTATTATTATTATTATTATTATTATTATTATTATTATTATTATTATTATTATTATTATTGCAATGATTATTATTATTATTATTATTACACACGCTGTTCTATTCGAAGAAGTAACCTTGGAAATAAAGATAATACATTACATATATTAACATTATTATGATATAACAGGTATGAATAATTTTCTTGAAGTTACATATTATTTTAGAATGACCACTAATATCTAATTTATTTACCTTTTTTGCCCTTAATTTAATCTATATTTCAAAATCTCTTTACATGAAGGAGTTTCATCTTAAGATTTTATATATAACATATTATTGAATGAACTCAAATTCGGTCAATCTGATAATAATACAAAAGTTGGCAAAATAAAGAAAACTTGATGTGGTATTTTTAACAATATAGTTAGATAGTATATGAAAATTATATAAATTTACAGCATTGAACTTAAGATCTTATCAAGTTCAGTAAAAATTCCTAATTTTTGTAAGAGAAAAATTCTATTGTATTATTATTTAAATATATTGTACTACTTTATAATTGTGTTTTTCATTTATATAAATTAATAAAGCTTACAATTATATGAAATATCAATTATTTGTAGCATAGTAAACAGTCTCAATACAGATAAATAAATATACTTTGCAGAATTTCGATAATAACTGAAAGTTTTTGTTCATTTTTATCAGGTCCAATTCCATGAAGATAACAATATCTGGTAGTATCTGTTCCCATCAGAATTGCTCATCTCTATGGATATTTGATAATAACTGAAAGCTTTATGTTAATCTTTATAAGGTCCAATTACATGAAGATAATAATATCCGGTATTATATGTTCCCATCAGCATCACATATCTCTGTAGATTTTGATAGTAAGTAAAATCTTTATGTTCATTATTTTCAAGTCTAATTCCATGAAGATAACAATATCTGGTAGTATCTGTTTCCATCAGCATCGCTCATCTCTGTGGATATTTGATAATAACTGAAAGCTTTATGTTCATCTTTATCAGGTCCAATTCCATAAAGATAACAATAGCCAGCATTATCTAATCCTATCAGAATCACTCATCTCAGCAGATTTTTGATAATAACTGAAAGCTTTGTGTTCATTTTCAAGTCCAATTCCATGAAGATAACAATATCCAACATTATTTGTTCCCATCAGCATCGCTCATCTCTGTGGATGTTTAATAATAACTGAAAGCTTTATACTCATCTTTATAAGGTCCAATTCCATGAAGATAACAATATCTGATAGTATCTGTTTCCATCAGCATCGCCTCATCTCTGTGGATATTTGATAATAACTGAAAGCTTTATGCTCATCTTTATAAGGTCCAATTCCGTGAAGATAACAATATCTGACATTATATGTTCCCATTAGCATCACTTATCTCTGTAGATTTTAATAGTAAGTAAAATCTTTATGTTTTCATTTTCAAGTCCAATTCCATGAAGATAACAATATCTAGTAGTATCTGTTTCTATCAGAATCGCACATCTCTGTGAATATTTGATAATAACTGAAAGCTTTATATTCATCTTTATCAGGTCCAATTCCATGAAGATAACAATATCCGGCATTATCTGATCCTATTAGAATCACTAATCTCAGCGGATTTTCAATAATAACTGAAAGCTTTATGTTTATCATTTTCAAGTCCAATTCCATGAAGATAACAATATCTGACATTATCTGTTCCCATCAGCATCACTCATCTCTGTGGATGTTTGATAATAACTAAAAGCTTTATGTTCATCTTTATCAGGTTCAATTCCATGAAGATAACAATATCCGGCATTCAGCATCGCTCATCTCTTTGGATTTTTGATAATAACTAGAAGCTTTATGTTCATTTTCAGGTCCAATTCCATGAAGATAACAATATCCGGCATTAGATGTTACTATCAGCGTCGCTATCTCTGTAGATTTTGATAGTAAGTAAAATCCTTATGTTCATCCTTTTTAAGTCCAATTCCATGAAGATAACAATATCCGGGCAATTAAGTTATATCGGCCAATCAACGAATTTCTGACAATGAATGCTATCCAGTATAGCGAACTTTTGCTGTTATTAGCTGATTGTTGTAGACCATCTTGTGACATTGCAAAAATATGATTGGCTAATTGAAATCATTTTGCAAGAAAGATTATAAATACAAAAATATTTTATTGGTATTAATAAAAGTGTTATTACTAGGCCTCGATAACTCAAAGAACATTAATCCAGCACGATCAATATTCTATAAACCAAGATCTTATTAGACACACATTAATTTAAACTATAAATAATAAAATAAAAAATAGGTGCACGAAGTAAAAAAAAAAAAAAAAAAAAGTAAAAATAAAAATTTACAAAATAAAAATAAAATGAAAACAGTTACTCTAGGAGATTAATAAAAAATATATAAATTTTAAACTATAATGTTCCAGTTCTATTGAGCTAAACTAATTTAGCCTTAATACTCTTAGATGTTACCTTATGTTTTTAATGTTAACCTCTTATGAAATCTATAAGCTTACGTTTCAGTGCTTCGTATCACTAGTTATTTTACTAGCAATACTGTCATTAGAACTAAAAATAAATTATTAATAAAATAAATTAGTAAAATAACCTTATTGCAAATAAATTAACAAACTTTAATAGATTTATAAATTATATTTACGCTTATTGACTAAATTGAACTGTCTAAATATATCTCACATCTAACTCTCACTGATTATCAAATTACTTTAGTATTATTTGATCGTATGCAATAACAAATCTTATTCCTATTATTTATATATATTTATATTTATATAAAAAGTTTTTATGAATGCAACACGGTAAAACTTCGCGAACTTATAAAAGATATCCAAAGTGATAAATGGGCAGGTTATCAAAAGCCTTATTTTTCACAGAATCTTAAAGAAGTTCTTCAACTCGATGAAGAATAACTTCTCTTTTAAACAAATTGAAGAGGTTATTAAAAATATGCCCACTCATTGACAAATTGTATAAATTGAAAAGAGGTTAAGGATCAAAAGAATCGATTAATTAATATTTCTGGTTGAAAATCAAATAGATATTAGTAGTTCGACTAAAGTTTGGTTATAATAATTTCAATATTTTAAATTTATTTTTTAATATATGAAGTGTATAATTATTTTGTACGCAAATAAAACAAATAATGATTTAAAATGTGAAGTTATTTGTCAATTTTCAATTATTAATCGATATTAATGGTTCGTAGACTATAATTATCATAATTAAAAAAATTACTACATTGCAATTTAAATTGCGTTTACTTATAATAAATTTATATGTGTGAGTTGTGCACTCTTTATTACAATTTGACTTCTCAATGTCAAAATAATTTCGAAAATATGACAGATCACGTGCTTCTGCCTTTAGGTATTCTGCACTAATGATGCCTGACGAAATTATTTTTGCGATGACGAATGGTTTCGTCATGGTTTCGTCATGACGAAACCTCGACGATTGACGAAACCCTTGACGAAAACTATGGCGAATTGACGAAATATATGACTAATTGACGAAATATATGAAATTAATTTGATAACATAATGATATCTTCCTACAAGCTTCTTTATGACGACCTCTAAATATGTTAAATCTTTTTAAAAGTAACATTATTTTATTAAAAAGGTTCATTTAATTCTAACTGATACACTTATTTTCGTGAATAATACGATTTCTAAAAAGGAGATAGTTTAAAGCCAGGTACAGTACACAAAATTACTATTTATGTTAAAGATTAGGGCCCGTTTAGGCTAATATTAAAAGAGTTTTATATATAAAATCGCCCTCAACATTTTTACTTAATACGCCAAATTGGGTTTAGAAACTTGTTTTCCCTTTTTTTACTTTTTTTTGCGATTTTGATTGGTCGTAGGCATCGGAGAATCTCGTGATGTACATGACCCAAAAAAGGGTCGTCTAAAGCCGTGTCCAATCACGTGACACAGAGCCAATAAAGTTAATTGATTTGATCGACACAGATCAGCCCGAAGAGACAAAAACAGAAAAAAAAAGTGAAAACCGCAAAAAACACAAGAAACGAGTGTTTAAACCTGCCACGAAGCATTAATAAAAAAATGTCCGGAGGACAATTTTACTATATGATATGCCCTAACCTTAACCCCAACTAACCCTTACCCTAATTTTTATCAAATAGTCAAAAACATATGACTAGACACGACTTTAGACGTCCCCCAACTTTTGTAAACAAAGTGCATAAAGGTAGAAGTTTAGGGTTAGAACATTAGTATCAGAGATAGCAATTGATATCCATACTATATATGCACAATTTCATTCCTATCATTTTTAATTAGCGCACCAGGGTCGATTTAAACATAAATTTGAGTATTTTTCACTTTCTTTTCTTCTTTCGTACGTGTTCAGATCCGATATAGTATCCTTGATATAGTTGCAAATTAGAAAAAAATCTATTTTATTTTACTATCCTTATAAAGTAAAAGAAAATTACCTCGCATCCTCTGATTGGCAATTTCCTTTTAGGAGTTTTTATTGCTTGTGTATAATAAGTTCTGCAGTTATAATCTAATGAATAAAATAATATCAATTTAAAAAGATTTAAAATTTAGCATATTTAAAGATTGTCATAATGAAGCTTGCTGAACGACTGTATTTCATTATGTTATCAAATCAATTCGTCAAGGATTTCATCAATTCGTCATAGATTTCGCCAATTCGTCATAGATTTCGCCAATTCGCCATAGTTTTCGTCAATCGTCAGAGGTTTCGTCAATCGTCAATTCGTCATTAAGAAATCACTTGACGAAAGGTTTCGTCATTCGTCAATGGCGAAAATTTCGTCATTCGTCAGGCATCATTATTCTGCACTGCTATCTTGTCATTTGGTTGGTAAAGTTGAAATTATTGCATCTGCAGATTGAAATGCTTTTTAATATTGTTAATTCACTTTCATTTAATGCAGTACTCTCACATATTATCGTATACTATCTTGATAATCCTTCAGATGCAGTTGGTCTATTAGAAGGAATAGCATCCATGCATTGAATTGCTAATTGGATATTGCAATCAGAAGTGTCTTTAGCAAACTCAGGACGTAATCCATTGCATATTTGAAAAGCAAAGTTGTATTATCCTTAATATCATGATGAGGTAGTCTTCCTGTAGACATTTCGGACATAATAACACCAAAACTATAAATGTCTGTTGCAGTTGTATGTGGTTGTTTCTTTAACACTTCTGGAGCAATGTAAGGTAAAATATCACAAATAGTATCTTCTAAGTCACATTCATCCTAGATCTGCAATATACGATCTTAGATAACCATTAATATATTGAACATATTCCGCCCTGTGCATTTTTTACGGTGTACCATAGGTACCCAAAGTGACATAATTTGTTTTATAGTGTTTTTGTGTTTTAATGTTTTAGTGTCTTAGTGTTATACACATTAAAACTTATTTCTATAAAAGGAAATTATTACCAAATTTAGAAATAAATTTTTTAATTCGGTGCTTTAGTGTTTTAGCGTCTTAATGTTTTAGGAAATTTGTCCCAAAAATAGTACGTAGGTAAGATAGGTGCATCATGCGTTAAGCCGAATGATATTCTAAAATGTGAGCTGGTTTGTGGCGCAGATTTTTGAACTACGAATCAGATTTCGTAATTAGGAAAACTCTAAGCAAGTGTTCGCTTGTCAGAGATTGCTTATTCCTCAAAAATTTGCATAAAAAGACGCCTTTAATGCTTTAATAAAAAGTTTTCTCAGAACAATTTTGCTCTAATAAAACTTTTTATTGAAGCACAAAGGCGTTTGTTTATGTAAATTTTTGAGGAATAAGCAATCTCTGACAAGCGAACACTTGCTTTGAGTTTTCCTAATTAATGCCTAATTTCGAAATCTGATTCGTAATTCAAATATCAGCGCCACAATCAAGCACACGTTTTAGAATATCATTCGGCTTAGATGCATTACCGGAGCAAAATGCGTTACAGCTATTGCAGCTGTTTTCATAATTTCTGAAACACCTAATAAAAATCTGCCGAATGATTTTTCGGCCGATCCGGTTAAGTTATTGATTTCGGCATGATCGATACATAACGATAAATTACAATTTATGTTATATACATTTGTAATTTGAAATATATATGTTGCTGGGCAAGTATTTAAACGAAAATTTAGTAATATTGAACGTGCAGACATTTATAATGTTAAAATTATCGTAGAAAAGTATCATATATAATGCATATTTCTTTTATATATAGGAATATAAGTGGAAATTTGCGTGTAAATTTCGGATATCTGATATGTAATTTTGTTATGTAAATAACGTCCATAACTGTTATAAAGCTGGCGCACAAAGTTTAATAATGCCGGCAAATTTTTGTAATGCATTAATTACAGCTGTTTTCATAAATTCTGGGACATCTGGCAAAAAATTGACTGACCGAATATTTGCCGATTCGATAAGTTTTGATTCAGCAGTGACCATCGCCGAAATCACAAACTTATCGAATCGGCAAATATTCGGTCAGTCAATTTTTTGTCAGATGTCCCAGAATTTATAAAACATCTGTAACAGTTGATCAACATGTCACACATAAAAATTTTTCATATGATCTTCACAAATTACACAAATCGACGAATTTACATTCATAAGTTTTTAGCCCTAGTCTTAGTAAAATACTCCAACCTTTTTTTTAAATATTGTTAATGCTGGGGTTTCTACGAACACAACGGTATAAATAATATTAAGAAATAATATTTCTCTGTGGCATTGCGACCCTTCAAAGATGGCAACCATTTTGTCTTCTTCCGCAAGATTCTTGGTCAGTTCTCAAAACTATAGCATGAAAAAGACCTTGTTAGATGCGCAAGAGCAAGATCTTTCTGCAAAATTCATCTTTGAAAGGGTGGTGTGTTATAAAAATGCAGAGAAAAACCAAAAAAAACTGTTTTATAGTATATAGATTTCTTTTAAGGTAAAATAGTTTACTATTAAATTATGTATTTATTTTTGTTATTCTTAATACAATAATACATAGCGATAGTAAGTTATACAATTAATCAAAAAAAAAATTTTTATTTCGATCTTTTATATAGTTATACCACCGATCTCAATCTTTTATATCGGTTATACCACCAATCTCGAATTTGCTTTGGTGTCCAATAATCAGTATGATGTGATAATTCTGTTACTAACTTATCAACAATTTCTTTAGATAATATAGTAGAATTCTTATATCTTTTAAGTTGGTTCAATATATTATTTTCAACAGGTTGGGGTTTGTGTATTGTATGTGGTATTCGAGATGTGGAGCCAGAAGACGGATTTGTCGCAGGCAATATTACTGGTTGTAAACCTTCATTTGTCTTATCAATTTCCATGTTTTGTGATTTCTGAACTTGTATAGAACCACTACTTACTATATCAATATTTACTGCTTGATCATCTTTTTTACGTTTTCTTTTTGTTATGCTCATAGGTATTAGATCCTTTTTAGCACGTTCAGTTTTTACTTGAGGAGTAGTATGATGGATATCTTGTTCAACAATCATAGTCATTCTTTCAATTTCTAATTAATAACATTTAAACATTCGTTGGTAGCCGGCATCTGTCAATTGTGTGGTTTCTGCAAATACATTGTGTGATTCTGGCTGTGGGCTGTTAAATCCAGATTCAAGTTTTTTAATTAATTTCCAAAGGGCATTTCAACGAACTTTAACAGACCGTGAACTTTTGCTTATGAATTGATCATTAGTAAATTCTGAAATTAAAAAGTTAAATCATTCATATTCTATTTATGCTGCTTTGATATTTCGTTTTAGGTTTTCTAAATTAGTTGTTTGCCTGGTCATATTTTCTTTTACAAATTTAATGCTGAATGTTTCTAATACATCATCAAAAGCAAAATAATGTCTCTCTTGGATCATATTAAT